GCATGCTCTGCCAGAATTCATGGTGAATAGGATACACAAACATAAGTCTGATAATCTCTTATGTTTTTGATGATGATGACACATATACTCATTACTTTTATTATTTTAGTGGCAGTAAAGATGGAGGAGTCGATATTTGTGTGTATATTTATGGTACCAAATTTGTAATTCAGTGTAAAAATTGGATAAAAGAAATAGGTATTTAGAGGAGTGGCTGATGTTGAAATTTTTGTTTTGATTTGAAGCTTTAAATTCACACGTACCTTTTATTAATAATCCTAACATGAAATCTAATCTACCGCTACCAAAACTTTAAAATTTCATCACAAATATATACTGGAATAATTTATCCAGGTAACCCTGATAATAATATAATTCAGCATCAGCTGAGGAAATTATAAAAAGATTATTTGAATATACTATATATATTTACAGTATAAACTTATAATTACAGGTTCTTCCGTCATTCGATCATTGGATGGAACACTCACCCGGCAACCAGATGGGACCATAGGTGTTGTGGTGGTTCCAGATAAGAGCAATTTTACCTTTAATTATAAAGAAAGATCTAGAATTTCAGTATATAAGATTATTCTTACAAAAAAAAGTAATATTTGCAGCGATCTTGAATTTGCTAGTCGAAATATTCTCTTTGTTTCTTGTTGTAAATATTTTTTTATTTCCTTTTTTTGTACTAACTTAGTTACTTTATTTGTTTGTATGTATTTAAAATATTCGCAAGATAATTATTATTTTTTTTAAAAGTTCATTTTAGGTCTATAGAATTCAGCGCTATTGCATATTGTGTGAAAGATTTAATTAACAAATTAAATATTGAATTTGCTAATTATTGTATGGTAAAAAAAATAAATTTACTGCATTAATCAATAATTTTTCTCAACACCAAAACTAAATTACTGTCAACTATCTAAGTTATATAACAGAAATCTGGACTAAAAAAAATGTTATGTTGAAATAAAACTGGGCTCATATAATATGAGTAGCCTGGACTTCTTTTGTATATCAATTTTTATTATTAATCTATTGTAACCATTATAAATTATTGCAAATTTTTCTGTTAAACCGATGAATTCGGTCTAAGGGTGTCCATTAAAATTAAATATTCTCTTATACTGTATGTCGCTAAGCATGTTTTCTTAAATAATAATATCAACTATTTTTATTCATATTGAGTTAACTCTCAAAATTTAAGTGGTCTTTAGTTTTTGCGAGAAACCTTAAAATGAATAAAATTATAGTGCACAATGAATTCTTGCCCTCTCCAATTAAAGTCACATGCATTTCCGTCATCAATTACACATCTTAAAGTATACAATACAGTTGATATTAGATGTAAGGATTCATTGACACAAGCCTCAGTATAAGCTAACTTAATCGTACTAATGCATTTGCTCAATTTCTTGCTAAATAATGAATTCTTGCCCTGCTCTCCAATTAAAGCCACATGCTACAATGCAGTTGATATTAGACGTAAGGATTCATTGATACAAGTCTCAGTATAAGGTAACTTAATCGTACTAATACATCAAGATGCCGTCAGATTAAATTATTTTAGGTAGGTTAGAAAAATGGGTAAGTACACAGCAAAACCATGCTTAGAGTATATATAATCTATATACTCTAAGCATGGTTTTGCTGTGTACTCACCCAAATGTCTGTGACAGGTTATGTCATCGTCATATCATTTACTTGGTATTCGTCACGGTCTCGTGATCACCGATCATAAAATACTTTGATTGCTTATTTGCTCAATTTCTTGCTGAATTTCATAATATAAACCTTGATGGTCAGGAAGAAATATTGAAATTAACAATATTTTAAGAGAGTTTCGAGAAATATTAAAGGAACTTGCTAAAACCAAAGATGATAAAGAAGTAAAATATTGGTTAGCCTATTATTTATGGCATGGAATTGGTTGATAAGGCAGCAAGATCAGAAGGTTGCTATTGAGCTACTTCAAGGACTAGCTAAAGAAGGATATTTATTTTCTTGAAGGGAATCTTTAACAATACACTGGCTGTTAGTAAATTGTAATGTTTCTGCTAAAAACTATTGTTTTACATAGGACTCGGATCAAATAAAAAATGCTGAACTCAAAATTTATTAAGATAACTTTTTTCATTTCTTTATAAGATTGAATTATGATTGAGGCTTATCATACTTAAAATTTTTACAAAGCGCGTTCTTTACTGCTTATCATCGAAAAGATTAAATTAACGATAATGATCTATTTTTAGAATTCAAAGTTTTCATTCTAACTTACCTATGCAATTATAATTTTGTGAAAAATAAGATTAAAGCATGTATGCATATGCATCTGTACATTTTGACTACTTGTTTCACTGATTTGTGATATCCAGCACCTTGTTAGTAGCAATCAGATGATGTTCCCGAGAAATTGAATGAGTAGAGATATGTTACAAATGAATAGAATTACTATTTACAAAATTGGTTGCATAAACTGTAAAGCTATTGGCACTTTCTAACATAATCCAGGCTGTCCAGATAACCGCCTATCATAAAAATCGTTGTTGGCCTGTACAATTGGAATCAATGAAGTTGCTAAGAAAAATATAAACACTATAGTAAGCTAATTTGACTCTTTAGACGCAATAATATTCTACAATTTCGAACTCATTTCATTCTCCTACGGCATCAAGATGCCGTCGGAGAACAAACTGAGTTTAAGATGTGCCAACTTTTTACAGTAATGAATTGTATTACGTATAATGTTACGACTTAGAGAGAGCTTTTATATATCCAAGCCAATTTAGTCCAGCACCGTAAGCATAAATCCTGATGTAGGTTGCACAGTCTGGATCCGTATGTGGTAATAATTATCGATTGGGATAAGTATTGCCGCTTCAATAAGACTATATCCGAAAGAAGTCGTCACGGGTTATGCTTAGGTTACTTAGGGTCCAAGT